TCCAGGAGCCCAGAATATTATTCAGAGCTGCATCGAGTGACGCAGGGTATTCTGTAGACATCGAAATCTACCGAAAGTAGTGATACCATAGAAAAGGCGCAACTGGACAAAAATGAAGTTTGGGTATCTACTCAACTAAACGCCTAAGATGCCCGCTCGCTTACTTGCCGCGATATGCCATCCATACACCATGCTATGCCTAACTAAACGCCAGCGCTCCCTAGATCTATTCATACGTATTCTCATAAGGATCGGCATCATCGATATCGTCATCCTCTCCGTTGTCAAAGTACTGCTCGGCATTATAATCGTCGTCCGATTCCTCCGAGTCCGTACTCGCAGCCGACCAGTTATCTTCCTCATCGACGGCATCAGGTTTATCCTCGTCGATTTCCTCATCTTCTTCGGCATCCTCGTCGTCTGCTTCTTCTTCTGCGCGGGCTTCCGCTTCGTTTGTGCGTTCTTGTTCGGACTTGATTAGGCGCTCGATCTGGGATAGGCCGTTTACTTTGGTCACGCCGAGCGTCCTGCGCTTCTTGGTCGAGGTGGAGTCGGCTCGTGTACCGTCTAGTGTGGGACGGAGTTCTGCGGGGAAGAGATCGACGACTGTTGTGTGAATGAGCGCTGGGTTTCCTTTCTGGCTTTGTGTTCATTTCAACTCACCGTATGGCCGCGCATCTAACTTTGGTAGTCTCCTCCGCACTTTGAGGTACTTGGCCGAGTATGTCTGGTTTCCGGTGAAGGGGTCAAAGAGCGAGGCTTCGGTGGGTGCAGGATCGCCGGCTTTTCGCTTCAGCCCGTTCTTCATGCCGTCATTGAGGATGGTGTAGAAGGGGCCTTCGTGGATGCGGTCGCGGACTGCGAGGTGGTGCTTGACCATGCCGAGCTCACTGTCGGTTGGTGGAGGCGCTTGGGGTGGAGGTGCTTCCTATGCATGGTTTAGTGGGTGAATCAAGGGTGCGCTCTTGAGGTGCGTGGTGCTGATAGACTGCTGCGACGGCGACTGGCGAAGCATGGTGATTGCGACAACATTATGTACAAATGCGCAATGCTACCGAAAGACTGCGACGACGCGCAAAGCAGCAACTACAAGGGCGAGGGACATGCGCCGGAAGAAAGGGAGATGCTCACTGGAAAGCGCTCGGCAGGCCCCTTCTGGATGTCGAGGCCAGTCAGATCCCAGTTGAGCTCAGTTCCGGCAATCGTCACGGTTCCTCGTGCGGGATTGAAGGCACCACGCGCGCCTCCGCGTCCACCTCCTCTTCCTCCTCTTCCCGCCATGTCTGTCTTTTACGGTTGCCTGGAGGGTTGATGCACGTCTGGGGAAATGGTTTAAACAATCGTCAAGTGTCGTCGAATGAGAGATTGGAGAGAGTTGTGGAGTCAGAAATTATTTCGGTACAGCTGGGACCGCGGCCTCTGCTAGCACGACTGAGGCTGAGGGTGGGGCCCCAAAACCGAACTTGTACCCAAAGCCCCGCCACCTCACTACATGAACACCACACTAGTACCCGAAGTCGTTACGACAAAGTTACAAGGACCAGGCCGTCTTAGATCGAGTGGTTATCGCTGAGTAGCTACACGATCTCGAAAAGTTTCATAGTCGAACATCTCCGGGCAGCACTGCGACGCCAGCACCGTGCATCAGGCTACAGGGAACGCGTGCATTCGACCTCTACGCGCAATCACATGAGCGGCCTAGAACCTTCTTACACTCCTTAGTAACCGCCACGCTCCCAGCCAGGGCTACTATCGAACATCAACGTTCCAGCTCATCCAAGTTTCGCTTCCAAAGTGTTACATACAAACGTCCAAAATGGCCGCGTCAACTACTACACTCACCGAACTGTCAGAGCATTTGCAAAAGATCGACCAAGATCCGGCCACTCCACTCGACACAGATCTACTTGAGCGATGCGAGCTCTCCATCAACACGCCAGAGTATCGAAACCAAACATGGAAGGAGACAAGGCCACTCTTTCTACAGATAGCAGCCTTACTGCCAAAGCTTCAACAAGATCCCGCGCCACTCACTCATTTTATCGTCAAGTTGGCTGAGCCATACCGATTCGACGATATCAAGGACATCGACTTCGAGATTGGCTTGGACCTGCAGGCTATCCCGTTCCACAATCTGATCCTCACATTACTCGACAAGGCCACCACAAGTAGCACCGATGCCCAAACACTTGCGAACCGGCCAGCAGTCATGTTGGCCATTGTTCGTCTGTGGCTGTGCACCCATGATGCGGGAGTTGCAAATCAGGCCGAAGATCTTCTTACTTCGCTGCTGAAAGTGTCGAAAAACGAACCCGTGTCAATAGATGGCAAGTCTTCGTTGCATACATACGGCACTGGTCCCATGTGGAGGCGCCTGTTGAGTGATCGAGACATCAGTTCGCTGTACTACCATTACACATCTCTCAAACAGCTCACATCACCACCTGCTCCACTTTTGAACAAGCGTGATAAGACCATCTCACAAGCTAGGCTGTTGTCGTGGCTACCACGCGTTGCCGCTATGGACTGGAATGCCATAGCATCCACGTACGGTCTCGATGTTGAGAAAGAGGCCGGATTGAAGGAAGGTCAGGGTCTGCTCCATTACGCTGCCCTGAAAATGGTGGACACCGAGGACGACATGCTCATGCACATGACCCTACTCCAATTCTACAGCACACTTATCACCACGGTCAAGACAAAACCCCATCTCTCACACTACGACTCAAGTCTCGCTCTCGACTTCCTGAAAGAAGAAGGCGTGCACAAAGGCATCGTCGACTTTCATACCTCCGAGAACCCCAGTCTCGACCATTCTTTCTTGAGCAGCCGGACAGCACAATACATTAGCGATTATGCATCGCACTACCCCGAAAACTTTGAGAAAAGCGAGGAAATGCCCGTTATTAGAAACTACGTCCACCGCAACATCCGCAAGTGCGAAGCTAGCAACCTCAACATCATTGCCTCAATGCCCCGCTCAACACTTATCCCGCGCCGCGCTTCAGGTCTAGCCTGGGACAACTGCGTCATCACCGACATGCCCATCACACGCACAAATCAGGACGCGCTGAAAACCCTCGCTGCCATCTTCCACGGGCCGCCGAAAGAAGAAATCACTTTCCCGCAAATTGAAGCTATTGGCGAGGATGCGAAGCGCAGGGAGACGGAAGCAGCATATGCAAGGATACTCACTGCGCTCTTCTACAGCAAAAAACCGAACATGTTTGCTGATATAACAAACCACATGGAGACTATTGCTATGCAGGAAAATGCGCTGGCGTCTCTGACGCTTGTCGGCGCTCTCATCACTTCATCTTGGTCTACCGCTGCCCTCCCTGATATCCCTTCAACAGACCCAACATATGCTCGTCTAAACGCCTTTCCCAAATCCGGTGTCGACGTCATCTTGGACCCTACGATAAGCGGGGGTGTCCTTCCTTCACTGCTTAAGCCAGCAACGACTTTTTCGAACCTTGTTGGTGGCAGAGGTGATGCAGAGAATGCGGCGTATATCGTTGCGACGGCCAAGTTTGAGGTGCTGAAGACGCTGGGCAGGAGATTGGAGGAGATGGGGGGTAGGCAGGATGTTTTGGCCATGGTGAGGAGGAGAGTAGGCGATGGGGTTTGGGGGGATAGTGGGAATGTGGGGAGTAGGATTGGGACGTTGGAGATGTAGAATCGGGTTGCGTGTACTGTAGGTACACATAGCAAATGAATGTCAGACGATAGTCTTCAAGAACTAGTGGTTAGTAACCATTCGATAAGTTGATAACCTCCAAGACACAAAAAAAGAAGTGAATCAATTCGAAGTGGAGCAATGTTTATCTTCCCCTCGACTCTCTTCACTCACCTTCATCCTCGTTACTGTACCAACAATTGGCAAAAAAAGAACCTGGGATATCTGACTGAAGCCAGACGAATGCTGATGAGAGTGGGACTCGAACCCACGCCACTTTCGTGACCAGGAATATGTGTTAAGATAACCTTAACCTGGCGCCATAACCAACTCGGCCATCTCACCGAACCATGTGATTGGTTGGTTGCTTGATGAGAAGTTGGGAAGATACATATCTTATAACGTCAATATTGTTTTGGAGGCTGTTTAAAATCTTGAAGTGCCATGATTTGAGGTTTCCTGGTGTTGGGCGGAGATGTGGGACGTGATGTGAGAAAATTTTAGGTGGGGTAGGTCTACGAAGAACGCGACGAGCTACGGCGAGATAGTGGGTACGGAATGTACTTCGAAGAAATTCGACATTCGATCGTCCTGCTAAATGATGCGAATTGTAAAGATTTCCGTATAAAACATTATTCTCACACAATCGTGTTTGTATTCCAATGGTCTGCTTGAACCGCAGGATCTGTTAATGAAAAGAGAGCTCGTCACTCATCACACTTTCAGCAAAAGGCACACAAGGTTTTTGATCAAGATTGTTTTAGACTCTTTAGGGTACAGACAAGCAACGCGTGAGAGGTAAGGACTGGCGACAGTTGGATAGAAGGCCGGAGCCTTGGGCGCAGACGTTTTTTTTGGTGGGTTGCCCTCTGATTTTCCAACGAAATCTTCTCCGTTACGCTTTCCGACAAGCAAATCAACATCCACAATTCCCAAAACGCCAAAGAACGGAAGAGAGGCGACATCGGAAGAGAGGCGACATCGGAATAGACACCTGCTGATGGTCGCGTCACTCATATCAGAGATGACATCCCACCAACGTCATCTATCCAATGCCACACCGATGGACACAGAGTTTATGACGGGTTCGAAAACACATTGGTACGCTCGGCCTATCGGTAGGATGCCCACGAAAAGTCGGAAATACTTTGTCCTCGTGTTTCCGACAGGCGGGCACTGAACACACGAAGAAGGGCTGGGGTGTACGGAAAGTCGGGATCACTTCATCCTTGAACCTCGGAATAGCAAATGCTGAGCGTACTGAGAAGGAGGGGGGTGTACGGAATGTCGGAGTCACCTCGCCTTCGTATGCCAGCGCGCCATGAGCAGCCCGAATGGCCGTAAGAAACCACGTCCCTGTATTGTGGGACTGAATCCTTATCCAGTCGTCTTCAAGAAGCTCATGGTGGTAGGGAGACCAGTGTCCATGGTTACCAGCAGATTCATCGAGTTGAAGGCTGCCATAGGCGCGCGCTCGTCTGCCATCAACCGGCTGAGGAAGACCCACGGCTCGCACCCGCCGAGCGGCTCGGGCGTTATTGAACCAGCTGCGAACTTGCCTCACGGTGAGATTGGCTTGATGTGCGATGCGTTCTAATTCCCAGGCACCTATGAGATACGTTTACGAAGTCAGTGTATATTTCACATGCAGTTCGTTCGTGGGCGTCTCTTACGTGGGTATGGAATCACTGCGAATTTATCATCCAGAAGCTGGCCTGCGCTAAACGACCTGTTCAGGAAGTCTCCTATAAGCTTGAGTGTATCTGTGTCGCTACGGCATGTATCGTCGAAGCCTGGCGTATCGATGAGAATAACCCTTGACTGCAGACTTCGAGCCCCAATGCAATATGGTAATGTTCTCTGTTGTAGTCGATGATGCAAAGGAACCCATGTATCAACCATGTTTAAGGTTGACATGCTTGAGCATGTTGTCCCTTCTCGGATAAGATTTCCCGCAATCAGGTTCCGGGCACCGGAAGCGACTTCGGTTTTCGAGTGCCTGATGACTTTGGCGATGTCTTTCCAGATCTGCCCGGAGACCAAAGGCTTTGGAACAGCCTGAGTACGTACAGCGATGACTTCTTTCGTGCTTTCGACGGACGTGATTACTAAGGATGAAATGATTAGCTTGGTAGTCATATTGTGTTCTACGTTTGATACTTACTTTCTGTCACAGACTCGATCAAAGATAATACCGCAGTAGCCGCACCTACTACACTTAATGCATCCATTGTGTAGATGTTGATCGTCAACAGATGGTATTGCGAAGCGTGAGGGTTGTTCCGCGATGGCTTGGTGCACGCTGGGATTGACGTTCCGGGTAGTTCGTATCGATTCGCTTGACTCGGTGTCAGGAGTACCGGTGTTGTAGGGAGGCGTCCAGATGCTCGTAATAAGCGTAATTTCCGAGCCAATGGATTGTTGTCGAGTTCGCGTTGCGCTGATTTCTGCTTCGCTTCGAAGCGTGACAGGAGGAGAAACGAGCCTGTGATCCGTGGGATCAACTTGGGGCCGAAAGTCGGAGAGTTCTTCCGATATCTGGTCTAACTGCACTCCAATTGCTTGTTCATCCAATCCTGCTAGAGAAGGTCGAGTAGGATATGCCTGAGTGGGGATGTCTTCAAGTTTGTTGGTCAATCCCGGGCTAGCGTTTGGCTCGCGCGACGGTGTACTTGGAGACAAATATGGTGCATGAATGGAGGGATTGATGTCGTACTCGACTTCATAAGGAGAAACAAAGAGTCTGAATTTCGAAAAATGACAAGAGAATGATGGGTTTGGTGGGATAAGGAAGGCGGGCGGCGAAGACTATTGGTCCTCGCCGGACGACTTGGAATGACGGTGGAGTTGAGAGCAACAGAATTGCGATCCTGGACTGAAGAAAAGCACTGATATGCGAGTTGTAAAGGAGTTGGAGGCTTAAGGTGACGATTGACGGACGGTTCGCAAGGTCCCCAGCACCAAACGCCTGAGGGCGTGGTGATGGGGCTTAAAGGCTGTGGGAGGCTTTGGTAGTATGAATTAGTTTGAAAGTATATACCTCTAACAAGACTTTTTAGAATCCTGCCGCAACGAACAGTGACGGCAGGAAAAGCACTGGCTCTTATCCGACCTCAAAGATTTGGAGGCGTACCATGCCTAAGGCTGAGAATGGGTAAGCGAGCGCAGTGAGGCTGTGATCAGCCACATCCGGGCTGTAGCGCAAATCTTGAGCGCTTGAGCGACGTATGCTGACCGAATAGAATCGTCATTGTAGACTCAGCCTTGTAGTATGCCTCCATTTGTGCGGCGCGAGAGTAGTTTGGAGGACGTAGGCTGAGCGGGACGGGTGTTGAGGTGTCTGTGCTTTCGCGGCCCTTGTCCGCTTTAATACTAGATCTGCCAGGCGACATTGGACATGCATGCGCTCTCGTAGCTCCAATCACATCTCCCGCCATCTCGCAACATCTCCGAATGGTGGCTTTTGATGTGAGCATCCTCTGGTGATGATGCAGCTGCCACAACTGCCACCCGCATCCGAACTCACCGGTTCGGCACGCCACAAGTACGAACGAGGCTAAACGCAGTAAGCGCGCATCCGAGAAGATCTATTTCCGGCGCAGATACACGAGTTTTGGTCTACAAAACATTATCATGATTCAATTCTATCATTATTGACTATCTCATCGAGATCATTACTTCAACGCTCTACTTCCTCGCGGCACCAGTACCCTCTGGCCAGAACTCATCCAGCCACTCATATGGGTCCTCAGGAGTGTATTGGTTCAAGATCTCGCCCTCGTAGTCGGTAAGGTGGTCGCGAGTGAGGTTGTACAGCGCGTACTTCTCATCAGGGCCTGTACCGACAGTGTATGGGACGGTCTGAACGTTGTTTCCAATCTCCTTGTCGACCCAGCGCTCGACGTCAGCGACCTGTGCGTCCTTGATGCGGTACTCATCGCCGTAGTTGGGTGAAATCTGGAAACGTTTTAGTCAAGTGACATCTGGAGAGAAGGAATTATGGATTCTTACTATGCCCATGCGGGTACCGTTGATGGCAATGACGTTCTGGATGGTAACATTGCGCTTCGCTTGGTTCAAGCAGTTGCCGCACGACTGGTAGAAGGTACCAAAGGTCTCGGCGAAGAAACCGGTGATGTTGACCTTTCCACCTAGCGAGTTGTCCTGGAAGATCTTGTCGGTTGCGCTTCGCGCACCGCCTCCGATGACGCGGAGCTGGGTGTTGAGGCCCTTGGAAGTAAGGGCATCTTCGCAAACGTCTTCCCACCAAACTGTCGTAGGATCGTCAGTATGCCAGTGCGATCAATCCGGATTTGTTGGACTTACCATTCTCGACCCATGCATCGCCCAGCGCGTGAATACCCTCGCTCTGGTGCTTGCCAATGACTACGTTCCTGATCGTGGCTCCGGGCAAGAGGTTGAAGACAGCATCAGCATCAGTTCCTTCTGCCTGCTCGTTGCATGATCCTTCTTCACGCTCGTATCGCTTCATCTGTCCATCGAAGACCTGACCAGGACCGATGTACATGGTCTCGTTGAGAACGACAGTCTCAGTCGGTACCGGAAACTTGGTAACCGGGAATGGGAATCGTGGAAGAGGTCGCGCGCCGAGGTCGCCCTGGGTTGAGTCTGCGCCTCCTTGTGGTCCATCGCCGTTTTGACGACGGATCACTGCCGCCGTTGAGAGGGCAGGAAGAAGAGGGAGGATGACAGAGGTAGAGAGCTTCATCTTGACGACTGGATATTGATTGTGAGAGGAATTGAACTCTTGTGACCGAGACTCTGGGTCAATTGAGGACTGCAGAGGTGCAGGAGAGGTACTTTACAACACATGCAGCTGCCCTAGCTTTTATATCTCCCACACCACTTTCTCGCCCAGCTCTCCGTCCGTCCAGAAGCCTCATCACGCACACTTTCCATACGCGATCCCACGCGAAATCCTGCTACCGTCTCTTTTGATATGCTCATGTAGGTGTACAGGGGCATAGCTTTCCCAAAGCTACCCCAGTATCTGCGCCCCCAAGCCAGCGGAAGAAATGTCATCCATGTACTTTCCGCGAGTGACGATGCGAGGACGGTGGTGTAACAGACTTGGCGCATCTTTAACCGATGAATCCCCAGACTACGAGATGCGTCGCCAAGTGAACGCCTCGCGTTGGTCACAATCGGCGGCATTTCTCCACGAATAACCCCGCGACTTGGCGGCTTGTTTTCGCCAACCCCGACTTTCCTCCCCCGCGTATCTTGGGTTTCTTAGCCTGTGCCTGCGGGGGACAAGGGTCTAATTTTCCTGCGCCCTGAGCGGTCATGCGACTGTGGTGGCTTGAGGTACGGGGTAGGTTTACCGCGGCCGCGCTTCGAGATCTCTCGTCTTTCATGTTGCGCAAACACTTCCGCATCATGGACTGAAGGAGAAGGAAATACATTCCTGCCGGCGAACGATTGCCGACGTACAAGTGAAGTGTCTCTTTGGAGCATTGACTGACAAGGCGGCACAGACAATGCTACAACTATGATCATGTTGGCAAATTGGCGACACAGTCATCCTCATCTCACAAGTCCAACAGCAACAGCACGGTTTTCACACTATCGGCTACCCACGATCATAATGGGATACACTGGCTAGTTGGATAGCTGGAGTATGTGTGGCGACCAAAACCATGCATTCCACCAATGGAGCGACAAGACCTGAGCATCACCTAGATTGGCAAACATACAAAGAAGGAAGCTCCCTCAATCCCAGTTCTCAGTCATATCCCGCAATCCCTCCTCAAGGCTATCCCATCTCGATCCCGGTCCTTTCAACCAGCTCATTACCTCCTCAGCCCTGGCGTTTGGCAAGCTCATTCGATCAACACCCATGCCCTCGATATTATCCGGGAATTCTCTTTCGGGATAAAGCTTACGCCATATGTCCATCATCTTGTTGTAGCTCCACGGCTCTGCGAAACCGAAGAGACGCTCCGTCTTCACATCGCTATGGATCAATGCGGAGATGTGTAACAGCGCATCGTCGACAGGATGAATGTACCACTGTGGTCCAACGGAAGTTGTCCATCTCTCTGACTGTATGCCTTTCCAAGCATCGTGGGCCCATTCGATGGTTGAAGGAAAGCCTTGGTGCTCAGGCATCAAGACAGCGCCGAAGTTTGCGTTTGGCAACTTTTTTTTTCAATATTAGCACCATTCTTCCTAGTAGGTGAGAAATTTTGCTTACGACGCGGTTGAGTACGAAATCGGGTTGATTCTCTTCCATCCATCTCATTATCGCCTTCTCAGTTTCCGTCTTCATGGCTGCGTAGACGAACAATCCCGGTTTGCCCGGTTCTTTCTCCAAGATCCTCAATGCTTCGTCGTTGTAGGTATTTTCGTCGATCGAAAACTCAACGTTGGGGCGAGGAAACGTTGCAGCAAGGGAAGATGATGTAAAGACGAAGCTTTTGCACGAAGGGACCTTTGCGCAAGCCTTGAGTGCATTCAGGCCTGCGTTAGTGGCAAGCGCAATCGCTTCGTGGACGTCTGAGATGCCTCCGATGGGTGATGCGACGTGGATGAATCCTTCGATACCTAGAGATCAAGACAGCTTAGCTTTGCTGGGCGTATCAGGAGCGAGCCTAATCTCGACATACAATCGACGACCTTGTCGTAGCATCCCTCGGCTGTCATATCCGGCACATCAACCAGCTCGAACTTTGCTTCTTTGTACTTATCGTTGAAGTACTCGATCAAATATCCGTGCTTCTGGACTTGTCTGACCGCACCGCGAACATTATATCCTCGCTTTAACAGCTGATCGACAATATGGCTTCCAATAAGCCCATTGACACCCGTCACGAAGACAGTAGCACCAGGCTTGATGATGACTGTAGGCATAGCGTCGAGTGGGCCGAGAGGAGGAGTAACTTGAATGAGGTAAGCAAAAAAGGGGTTGGAATTTCGAATTCTCCAAACACTACTCAAAACCTGCTTGTAGGTCTCACGATGTAGGCAGATTCAAGAGGAGAAAAGAGAAAGAGAAGACAACAGTCGCAAGGCCGGAAAACAAATTAGATACACCGTGGTGACTGGCTGCCTGAAGTTACACAGCCTAGCTATGTTTGGGAAGGCGGGGTCGATGCAGCACGCAGCTTTAACCGAATACCAGTAACACATTCTATAGGTTTCTCTTTCCATCTTGATCGAGAGGTTGGAGGAATTCGCGATTTTGAAGCTGTGTGGACCTGAGTCCTTTGGTTCAGCTTTGACAACCCTCAAGCTAGGCAGCGCTGGCTGCGAAGAGTTTGGAAGTCGGGTGTGATTACAGCATGCGAGAAAGACGAGGAGATCGGGAGATGAAGCAAACAAACATGTCATTATTCATTGGTTTACTCTGGACATAAATCAATGAAGCAAACAGGTAAGGAAGCAAATATACACGTAGTGTAGCTGGAAAAGTACAAGACTCCAAAACCCCTCGCCTAGCGGACATAGAGAGTCCACTTTATACTTTTCCACACATCCAGATGCGTATATAACTTCTTTTTCCATCAAAGACGTAGCACTTTCTAACGGTGTTGTCGCATACCATATGAAGTCCTCGCGCCGATCAAGCACCCTTGCTCTGGGTGTTTTGAGGAGTCAAGTTCTCGAACTTTCCAACCAAGGACTTGATGCTATCACTAGTCTTCCGCATACGAGTAGCAGTTCCCATAGACTGGCTGGGAGACATCGCTGTGAGAACTGGGCGGACAGGTGCGGTGGCATGCTCCTTTCGCCATGGGGTGGATGGGGACCATGGCTGTGTCGCGGACGCTGACACGCTTCGCTCATCATCGATCGCGGTGCTTGTACCCGAGATGAACGTGTTCATCGAGACAGCCTTTGATCTTCTCTGCTCTGCTAGAAGAAACCAATGGTATTCGGATTCGACCTGAACCATCCTGCCGTCGTCGATGTCGTCAATCCCTTTGATCTCCTCCATGTGAAACGGTTCATTGCTGTCGGTGGTCTCGGTGGTCTCGGTGATCTCTCGAGCCTCCTCGATCGCCTCGATCTCCTGAGGTTCCTTAGCCTCCATGATTGCCTTGAAGACTTTGGTATCTTTGATGTCCTTGACTTGCGGAGTCTCAATCTCGCTTGAACCTTTGGCTGCCTCGACCTTGCTGGGTTCCTGCATCTCCATGAGCTCCTTATAGATCCTAGTATCCTTGATGTCATCGATCCCTGTAGTAGGAACCTCGCTAGTTGCCGCCCAGTCCTTGGTCTCAATCTTTGGATCAGCTGGATGCTCGTAAGCGAGAGGCTCCAGATACTCGTTACCGGCGGCTAACGCAAGCTCATCGAGAGATTGGTGCGGAACATCCGTGTCGTGTAACGTCGCGATCGAAGGCGATATGCGTGGTGTCGGATGTCCGTCAACAACAGCTATCGAGCCTGTCTCGGAGAAGTCGCCGCTGTTGGGCGCTTGCTCCATAGCCGAACCCTCAGCCGACCTGCCACTGCTGACAACTGTATCGGTCTCATCCGGCTCTAGCCTCCTTTCGCTATGCATGAAGCTCCTCGTACTTCCTACAAGCGTATCTCCATCGCCCTGTCAGTTGAAGCAACTTGTCAGCCTAAACCCTCCATTCAATCCTCGATCATTGACTTACCTCTGGCACGAAGATCCTGCCCCTGATCGTCTTCATCATCCCCACCTTGCCCAGCAGACTCGGGCAAGCAACCTCAATCTTCTCAGTCTTGACCTCTCCAGTTCCACCCATATACTGGATCAGCGCCCTTTCCTCCTCCAAACACAAGGCCTCGAAGATCACACCTTTGGCGACTTCTGTGCCGCAACACTCGCCCCAATTGCGGGCGTCGAATGCTAGTGTGCTAGCCCCGTGGCCTGAACGGATGGAACGGCGGTAATCTTCGATACGCGCTTTGCGGAGCTTGGGTGTGCGTGAGAGGGAGAGCGCGGTCTGAAAGGGTAATTTGTAGTGTTAGCGAGGATAGTGAGTTGCCAAGTGTGAGAGTGAAGAGTCGTCGTACTGGATGACTTGAAGGATGTTGATAGTGGTAGTGTAGACCTCACAACGGTAAACGCTGTTGCTAGAACTCCCCTATCCATGCCGACAAGCAAATGCAGTAATAGAAACAGAACCCACCTTGAGTGTCTTAGCGTCGGTAACGCCATCGCAGAGGAAATACGCGACGGGGTAAGCTGAGGAAGGCGATACGTCAATCTCAAGCTGCGAAGTCATCGCGTCGTTATAATGAATCCTAGAAGGTGGAAGCTCCGAAAGCGATTGCGATAGCGGTTGAGAGTGAGAGGAGCACGACAACGGTTTTGTGGGCAGAAGAAAGCCGAATAAGAAGAAAGAGCCAAGTAGAGGCAAACGTGGTGAGGAGTGAAAAGGCATCTGTTTGTTGTCGTTGCGTGCGTTTGCGTTACGCTGTCTGTGTTGACAGATGAAGGCATCTGGGGACGCGCCTCCCGGAACTGATAGAGGAGTGGAAAGAGCAGTTGCAACATACATACCCATCTCACCTTCCCTCCTCTTCACATCCTTATCACCTTCACGATACACAGCTTACACAAGCAGGCAGACCAAGAAACCAAAGCGACGTGGACGAAGCAGGAAACACCATTCATAATATCCTACAAAGTATGCACTTGACGGTAAGAAACCTCGCATTGAGCGCCTCATCCACCCAGTACAAAGTATTCGCCTCGCAATGCTTATTCTACAAGAAATGCGCGACAGCAATGAACATGACTAGTAACGCAGCATCCCCATGAATGGTATAGCAATACCCCCAAGTGACGATTCCGAAGAACTCCGTGCTTTTGTATCATGGACCAGAAATAGAAAACGATACCAAAAACCGCGAACGTCATCTTCTGCGTTCCCATGCTCATCTCGGGTCCCATCCACATACGTGTCATTAACCCCCTTGTTTTTTTTTTGCCGGCCAGCCCAATAGGAGTCGTGATACCCGTAAGCAGGTTGAGAAGTAACCCGAATGCCCGCATAGGAAAAAGGGAGGAAGAAGATCAACTACTTAAGTCTTCCTCAAAAACAACGGAGGAAGGTTATTAGTACCCATCAAATACACTCTGCTGCAAAACTCCGAGTTCCTACCACCAGCCGCCTAAGCCAGCGGACGCGGACTCGCCTGCGCATGCGTAAACAGTGCATTAAGCAACCGCTCAACCTTCAAAAGAAGAAGACGAGTCAGTATGGTTGGACAGCAAAGCAAGTAGAAGATTACGTACTTCAGGAGCTGCTTTGACAAACGGCAAGTCCCAGAACGTGTAGGTTGGGTTCTTCAAGATCTCCAACAACGTGATAATGAGTCCCCAGGGATGTGGGCGGTGGACTAGCAGGCGCTCTAATAACACGCGGGTAATGGTCTCTTGGATCTCCAATGCGAGCGAATCGTCGTTAGGGGGTCCGAAGAGGTGGAGCAGCGTGTAGCTGTAGAAATGAGTATGCGTGTTTGGGAAGCGGAGCTGGTTCGCGATGGCGCTGATGAAGTGGAACCTGGCCTCCGGGTGGAAGTCTTTGACAAGCCTCTCAACAACCTTGGTAGCTGGGCTCTCTGCATCAAAGATCGGAACGCTAGCGGGCCCGGTCCCTAGAGTCGCGATGCCAATGTACAGAGTAATTGCATGTATCAGCGTTGGGTTCGCTGTCGTAGAGACGAGCTCAAACGCTGCTGATTGAGCCTCTGCGTAGTAGACTGCTTGGCAGACCTTGTCAACGTCCTTGTTCTTCAACTCTGAGCCCTTTAGGAGATTGTCTATAGCATCCTTGATACCTGCATCTGAAAGCACCTGCGCGATGTCGGCACGGATGACCGGTGCTTGAAGGTCATGCTCCAGTCGATCGGCCTTAAGTCCAGCTGTGAACGGGTCTGGCATCTCGAGAATGGTGGAGGGGTAGGCGCTGACGATGAGATTGCGGAGTTGTGTGCAGTGCATAGGAATACTGTTGCAGAACCGGAAGTGGTTCTCGACCAGGAACTCAGGGAAGTCGTGGTGTATCACTAACAGAACTCGCAGGACACCGCGGTAGAACTGTTCAGCCATAACCGTCTCTCCTGTAGGCTTGATGAGCTTGCCCGTGAAGATCAAGAGCGTCTCGATAAGCTGAGCGTAGACGTCCCATCGCTTGTCTCCTTGGCCCTCTTCTAGCATAGCAGGTACGAAGATACGGTGAGCAACTAGTGCCAACCACGAGAATGTAAATCGCTGGAGGTGCGAGGGTTGGAGAACCAACAAAGCCCTGGCTACAGCATGGAAGACGTCAGCCTTCTGGTCAGCTAGAGCCTCTTCCTTTACCGCATCGTTCAGGTGGAAAAGGATGGCAGAGAACAACCTGAAGAAGACCTTCTGGTTGAAGGCATCGCCTCGTGTGCTGTGATGGTTGCAGAGGACGAGTACGACAACGACTAGTATCTGATCCAGATACCTAGCCTTACTTTCCTTGACAGCTCCGTCTTGCTCGCCTTGGTAAACGACAAGGTCCACCACTAGTCGGCCAAGTGCATCGATCTTGACGGTTGCAATGTCTTCGTTACCGTTGCCAAACGGTGCGGAATGTTCCTGTTCGTATGCGGCTACTGAAGAGTCGATGCAGGTGCGAATGAATGCAACTGATGATTCTTGAGTTTCCATCACCTTCTGCTGGTGGAGCTGGTAGATAAATGCGCCAACTGTCTTCTTTGGCATGCTTTCCATTTGGAGATGCACCCACTCGTCGAAGACATATTCGAGTTGGTCCTTGTATCCGGATCCTGGTGGTGTAAGCATCGGCTCGTTGGATGGTACCTGTAGGTTGCCGAGCACACGCTTCCCGAGCTCGAAGGATGGGTCCTCTGCTAGCCATGTGGTAAGAGCATCGATGGACATGGCGAAGTCGGCACGGAACGCACTCGGATGTTCGTTAAGTAGGAGCTCCTCCATCAAGCTAGACAGCATCTCTACTGCGGCGACACGTCGTTCTTGAATGGCCTTGGCGATAGTCGTGTTCAGGCGGTGCATATCCATCAGGCTAACTTCCATCAAAGCGACCATGACTGTGGACTTGAAAATCCTGTCATCGTCGTGTAGAGTCGCCAACCACATAAGTACCTGCCGCGAAGTCTGGACAGACAATTGGCAGAGATGACTTAGCAGATGCGCCATCACCTCGACCTCCAAGCGGCTCAATGAGTCGGAAAAGAGATGGTTAGTGACTTGACCTGCGATGCGGAAAGCCCAGGTTTCCTTGTTAGGGCCCGCGTACTCAACACTTGTGATGAGCTGGTCGAAAACCTGGTGAACATTGCTGCTACCAGGCTGAAGTTCGCTGATACGTTCCTCTGGCGCCTCCTTGATAACGCGAGTCAGTTCGAGCAAAAGATCCTCAACACCACGTTGACCACGCTCCAAGCCTGGAGCCTCCATGTAGCCATTTGGTTGTTGTTGTGTCAAAGGTGCATGAGGGGCTTGAAGACTCTGTAGCCGCGCTTGTTGTGCTGGTTGGCGTGGCTCTGCTGGTGCAGCACCTGGAGTTGGGAGGTTCGGTACCGCTGCGAACTGGTCTTGGAGGACGTCTGGAAGCTGACGTCCACCGTCTTGGGACGTGTTATTCGCGTGCGGAGCACCTCGTGACTGTCTACCGAAATCTTCGTAGATGGCCAGCTGCTCACGATTCAGACCACCAGGCATCTGCTTGTATGGTTCAGGGATATAGAATGCCCATGGGCTGATGTTTGCATCCTTGAATGGCTCATTCGGACGAGAGCTGCGGAACATTCTGCGAATGCGGACTGCCTCCTCGATCTGCATGTCAATCTCCGCAAGAGACGACATTTCAGCGGCCTGCTCAACCGTGTTGCAGACGAGGTCAAGATTATCGTTCACAAACATGATGATATGTCCCTCTGGCAGCGCTTGGTCGGGGAGGTCTCTAGCTGTTACACGGATGTGGTTTTGAATACTCATGCGTAATGGCTCCTTGCAAGTAACAAGGGCCAAAGCACCAGAAAGAGCCTTGACAACAGTGTGTGCTGCGTTGCGAAGCTTCTCCTCGTCGGGTTCCATAGCAAAGTCCTTGTTAATCAACTGCGATGTTGAGATGGCGGCAATAGTCACAGAGCGCTCTACTACCGGAGCGATGATCTCCTGGATGGCTTGGTTGACAGCAGTAAGGAAGATCTTCTTCAATGCCGCTGGAGGGACCGCGCTGTTTCCAGACGGCGGGTACTGAAGCTGGTTGGTGAAATCGGGCAGAGCTGCCGTGATTGCTGCTGACGAGAATCGTTCGTTCGGACCTCGGGCGCCACGGTTCAGGCCCATAATCGAGAGATCACTGAATGCTTCTAATCCTTCAGGAACCATGGATCCAAGGAACTCTTCGTCCGTTGGGGGTCGTCCTCGGATACTGTTTGTGGGCTCAATTTCCTTGTGGTCAAGCTCTAGGCCTTTGCAGAGAACTTCGATCTCGAATTTCTGGTTTAACTTTAGGTCTGCAAAGTGGTAAAGTTCCATAAGGACTCCCAGCATCTCCATGATCCAAGGATTGGGGGGCCTGAAGATGGAAGACTTGGCAGCTTGTACAAGCACCTTGCAGGTGAAAGGAATTACAAGAAGAAGGCGATCAGTATCGTAACCCTCATGCAATAAGTCCTTGAATGAGATGTTGCGGAATTTGATCGGCTGGTCTCGGGCAATAGTCAATGAACCAAGCCAAGAACCCAGATTCTTAAGATGGCCACGCTCCGTCGAACCCAGCGTGGAGTCAGTATTCAGCATACGGATGACGCTCGCGTACGTCTCACGGAGCACCTCAGCCCAGAGTGTCTTATCGTTGAATAGGTCGAGCATGTCGAGGTAGAGTTGCTGGAAATTAGGCTGCATTTTGGCGCGCTCCTCGACAAGATAGTTTGCGAACCACTGGTGATGTCTCTCTTCGACGGCTTCGGTGAGATCGCTGATCTTGTCGCGCAAGTTGCGCTCGGAGACGTTGTTCAATACGAACAGAACTTTGTCTTGAACGTCTTCGTCGGGGTCCTCGTACAGCTCTGGGCGGAGTGGGGGGTCGACGTAGAGGCAGCTGAACTTGGGTATGGCCGGCTCCTGGTGGAGAGCATCATCGATACCGTTACCGTTTGTCAATCCCACACCGTTGTGACCATCGCCGTTAACTTCGCCGACTTGCTGACCTACAACTTCTTCAGCTTTAGCAAAAATCTCAGTTCCTTGGAGCCCAGGGACAATGAGGAGCTGGTCGCAGTAGTTGGGCCACTCGTGCAGTCGGTTCGAGAAGTGTATGAGAGCTTGGAGGCCGAACTTGTACATACTGTCCTCGGGTCGATATTCCTGAACAGCTTCTAGAACCATAGCCAGCGCAACCTGAAGTGCAATTCGGGACAAGAGGTTGAAGTTGATGATACCTCCGAAAAGCACAGCAGTCGTGGCTAAGGCTTCTAGAGGATATTCCCCGAAGCAGTTGTACTCATCGAAAAGGCCGTGAATCATGCATGCGAACAAATCTTGGTCCGCGGGATCACGCGACTCCTTGTACTTCTTGAGTGCTGAGATGATGTCTCTTACATCACTGTCACCGCTGTACATGTTCTTGAAATGCTCTTGCATCTTCTTATCTGCCTCTTCCGGAAGCGAGTTTCCGTTCTGGCCGTTGGCGTCGATAATGTCATCCACGCCTTCGCCGTAGTTGATCAACCTCGGGTACGCCTGTATGCAGTTCCGCTGTAAGGGCAGCAGTTCCGGCTCAGGGAGACCACACTGTGCAAGGAACCAGAGCAGTGGGTATACTGTCTTGACAGCAAGCGGTAAGTTGAGAGGTTGGTGGTCGTCTCGTGCTCGTTGCATCTCTTCTGCAGCCCGCGCACTCAGAAAGTTAGTCAGGATGCGACGGAATAGCGGCCCGGCCTGCTCGAATGTCTGCTCCAGCCAGGTACCAAGCTCGAACTTGCCGCGCGCGTGCGCTTGTGCAGCCAAATCCAAGCTGATGTCAGTATTACTGCGAATCAGTTGCTCTAACCAGTTGTTCGTCTCCGCGTGCTCGAGTACCAGACTGAGGGTCATTGAGTCGGCGTTGTAGGCATCGACAAATCGATCTGTAAGCCATTGGGAGTCCTGTTTCCAAAGGCCGTAGAGGACAAAGTTGTAGATGGGTAGCTTCTTGAGGAAGTACGGATCAAATAATTGCTTCAATGCCTGTTCCTGCAAGGCACCCCAAGGCTTTGGGACTGCCGCTGCCGCTACGAGGAACTCCGCTGTGTGTGGATTGATCACCAAATCGGGTATGCCCATCAGCTGTGCCGTGTGATAGGTCTCAGATGTCTGGAAGATCATGTTGAACAGCGCGGCTGTCGCGTCGAGCGAGACAAAGGGGTGTTTGGTTGCTTCCTCGGCGAAGGACTTGGCGTCGTCGGACGCGTTCTCGAACGTCTTCAACGAGTAAGAGGTGCGTAACCTAGGGATCTGTGTCACGTCCAGCTCTTGCCGTGTGGAGGACAGGAAAGCAACTACGAAGTATAACTGTGTTAAGTCGTGCTGCCATTGTCCTCCCCATAGTGCTTGTATGTCGAACTTCTCCGTGTCTTGGGCAACAGGGAGCAGCGCGTTGTATATAGCTAGGAACTGGTGCTTCTCGATGCGTAGGTGGTCCCGGTCAAAAGCCAACACGACATCCTGCCAGTCTATCCGCTGCCCGGTCCGGTGTTCGCGTAGTGCGGCAACAAAGTTCTTCGCGTTGTATCCGGTAGAGAGCGCGAGATAGAGGAGCACTGCGGCGACTTGCTGGTAGCTGATGTCGCGCGTCTCGGCAGAAGCGAGCACCTCTTTGCATGCCTCCACCGTAGCTGTGCCTTGTGGACCCGCCTGTTTGACCAGCTTGACCAGAGGATTCCGTGAGCCATCTGTGAGCTCGACGAGTATCAGCTTCGATTCGACGATGCCGGGGATCTGTTGGTGTGTCTGCTGGTATCGCATCTGAACGGCGTACGCTAGGCTCATCTTTTTCTCTTCGTCCCAGCCTTGTGGTGGATTTTGCAGTAAGCGTTCGACGAGGGCGGCGAGGTATTCGTGGCTCATGTCCTCTGGCTGGGTGGGTTGCGCGACGGCCATTAGCAGGTCATCGCCTACGGTGGACAGTACAGCATCGGCTGGTGAGAATTAGCGTCAAGTCAATGGGGGAGCCAATTGGGAGTGAGATGCCCACCTTTAGTCCGGAGATCTGTCTTCCTGCAGGCGAGGGCTAGCATCGTCTTCGCGACCGAGTCGAGCTTGAAGTGGGATATGAAGGCCTGCAGGTCGAAGTCGCGGAACAAGTCGCCCTCGCTGGAGCTTATTGATTCTGCAATCTTGTCTGCCTGCTCGGGCTCCTTCCGTATTTTGTGCACCTCGGTGAGGAGGATCTGGTAGCTGCCGTTGCTGTCGGCGTTGCGGGCGCCGGTGCCGAAGATGGTGGCTGCATTGTTCTGCAGCACGCGGCGGAAGTATTTTGAAAAGACCTCCATGCCGTTTGAGTCGACCAGCTGGGCGCGTCAGTAAATGGAGAAGGAACGGGGCGCAAGCAAGGGAGTGCAGGGCAAGCGCGCAAACGGGGTCAGACGAACCTTCCTGATCTGCTCGGTTTGCGTGTCCCACTTGACGCGGTCTTTGTCGTCCTTTACAGGGCCAAACTGACTGAGCAGCAGAAATATCTGGGCGATGACAATGCGAGAGAGATTCTGGGACGAGGGGCCAGAGGGGTTGGTGGCTGTGCTGGGAGAGCCCGTGGTGCTCGAGGTGGAGAGTGAAGGCGAGGCGCGGACAAGCTTGGAGGCTCCTCCGCCGCTACTTGACTGTGCACCTGGGCCGTTGGTAGCGGCTGCGGCGGAGGAAGCCAAGTGCGAGGCAGCTTGGGGCGCTATGGTCCTGGACCCTCTCGAGGACAGCAGCTGGCTGGCGGGGAGCTGCTGTCCTGCTTGGGGCGAGAAGGGCGACGACGTCGACGAGGCGGCCGACGACTTGCGGCTGCGGACGAGGCGCGATGAAGACGCGGGCGGCAGCGAGGGGAAGTTTGCTGTGGCGGGCGACTGGGCGGGCCGCGAGTTGCTGGGTGAGGGCGTGTTGGTGATGCGCTGCTCGTGGGCAATTGCCGTGGATATGGGCGTGAGGCGTGTGCTTTGGTTTGGTCTCGGGGCGCCCCAGGGGTGTTGCTGGCTCATCGAAAGAGTCTTTCCATGAGTAGCGCGTGGCGGGTGGGGGTGAAGGGGGGGGATTGAAGTGGTGATGGGGTTTTGGGCACGGGTGTGATAACCAGACGTTCAGTCGGCCATGCAGGCAGGAAGAGCGAGGTCTTGGCACTAGCGCCCGTGGTAGAGCGACCTGCCACGTTGGACATGACACTCTGCGCAGTCACCAAGGCCGCGCACACAGAGGTTGGTTTGTTCCAAGTTCGGAGCAGTGTAGACGATGCATATTCTTCTCAGTTGCCGTGTTTCCATCTCCGTAATATCAATGCTGCGCTGCCAGACACTGCGACATGGAAATACACGATGAGGCTCCCTCTTGCTCTATACCCCACTCTCCACCTCAATGCCCATGACTGTTCTCCCTCCGACCCAATCCCCGTCACAGACGTCTCCTTGGACCTTCGAGTTGTCTCGTGTTTGATGAATTGCTGTTGCACGACTGAGAGCCAGTCCAAGTCACTCCTTGATGATGATGTAATCTAATCCGTTCTTTCGCAGCTAACTACCTGGGCACAACTGCGCGACTTCAGCCCACGACGGCATGGACGACAGAGACTGGCCGAGGGTCATGCATTCAGCGTTCAGCACCCACATACACACGGCGCTGTCTGTCTCTTGCACAGGTCCAATATCTCCGACAGAGCTGATGCCCGGATACGTCCTTTGCTGAACAAGTCCCTGCGTTGGGCTTGCTTCTTTGCATTATGACGATGGCTATGGCAATGTAGTAGCCCTCCTGGACCGCATCAGGGAACGCATCAGGAACGCAGGGCAAAAGAAACCAATCTTCTCCAATAACACGTCGCAATAGGGGTGGTAGTTCATAGGCGGCGGTTCGTCATAGCCTGCGGTTAGCGCTACCCCTCGGCGCTCGCGTCGCTATGGTGATGTTGCTGCCCGTCAACACATCTGTCCACTGGTACACCGCCAGCGCACCCTGGTCCACTGTCAACACCTGGCTCAGTCTTCTCGACTGCATATCAGATACCCCCCCATATTTCTCCCCAAAACACATGCGAGCGTTCGCTTTCTCGCCCATTTTGCTAGCTCTCTCAATTCCCTGTCGCTGAAGCAGTAAACACAAGGCGCCATGGGTGGTGCAGCGGCGACGGAGCCGCCTTCGGTCTCCCTATCGTGTATGTGAAATAGATAGCACCTCGAAACTGAATATGCTGACAATGCAGTCGCCAACAACTTCTGGGGCAAAGATGACGCGGGCGTCGGTCCTATGCTCGACCGCATGCATGCGGCCAAAGTCACCAACGACGAACTCAAGAACTTCTACGCAGCCCGAGCCGCAATCGAAGAAGAATACTCGCGGAAACTCCTCAATCTCTCCCGCAAGCCCCTAGGATCCTGCGAAACGGGCACTCTACGACTGTCGTGCGATGTCATCCGAGCCGAGGTCGAGTCCATGGGCAAGGCACATCAGAGCATATCACAGCAGATGAAGACGGAGCTGGAGGAGCCGCTAGCCGCTTTCGCTGGAGGAATGAAGGAGCGGAGGAAGATTGTTCAGAATGGCATCGAGAAGCTGCTCAAGCTGAAGATGCAGCAGACATCGACGGTCAACAAGGCACGCGACCGATACGAGCAAGACTGTCTCAAGATCAAGGGTTTCCTAGCGCAGGCGCACATGGTCATGGGACATGAAGAGCGAAAGAACAAGGCAAAGCTAGAGAAGACACAGATCAACCTGGCGACCACGAGCAGCGAATACGAGGCCGCAGTCAAGGTCCTCGAAGAGACCACGGGCAGGTGGAACCGGGACTGGAAAGCCGCCTGCGACAAGTTCCAGGATCTCGAAGAGGAGCGCATCGACTACACGAAGAGCAGTCTCTGGAACTTTGCCAATATTGCTTCCACAGTATGCGTCAGTGACGATGCCTCATGCGAGAAGATGCGCCTCTCACTCGAAGACTGTGACGTAGAAAAGGACATCTTCGGCTTCATCAAAGAGTCGGGCACAGGCCAGGAGATTCCTGATCCTCCCAAGTTCATCAACTTCTGCAGGGGAGATGCCGAAACCTCATCGATAGCTTCCGAGGAGGACGAGAACTACTCAGTCGCCCAATTCGCTAGAACCCTAAATCCAGCCTACCGCGCTTCCTCACCAGCGCCTTCCACATTCTCTTCGCACAATGATCCAAACAATCCGCTAGTACGAGAGCTGGGCCTTCCACAGTCGACACGCCCAATAGCTCCCGACGACATCATGCTACCACAGCCCTCTCTCGACAACGCCCGACAGTCGCCCAGGCAGTCGATAGATATGCCACGGCAATCTGTAGAATCATTCCGACAGTCTAAAGATTCGTTCAGACAGTCTGTAGATTCGTTCAGACAGCCGATTGAACCTCCGCCACCACTGATGGATGAACCGCAGCAGCGTATGGATTCTCCCCGGCAGCGTCATGAATCTCCTCGACCGCGCATGGAGTCTCGTCGTCAATCTGTAGAATCTACCCGACAGCGTGCTCAGTCCCGACCGCGTGCTGATTCCCGACATGCTGAATCTATACATCAAGTGGATCCGCGGTACCAGCAAGTTGAGCCACTGAGACAACGTGCAGAGCAGCCAAGACAGCAGGTGCAGCCGTTGAGGCAACATACAGATCCCCCCAGACAGCAAGAGCGCATTGAGCCTCTGAGACAGCACACCGAACCACTAAGACAACAACACCATATCGAACCTCTGCGACAGCACGTGGAGCCACCAAGGCAGCCAGAGCCACAACAAGCACCTCCATCACCGCAAATCACACGCGCAGTGCAGCCAGATCCCCGATTGGTTCAAGCACAGCAACAAGCTCGCCAACAGTATCAACAAAACCAGGTCCCACACAACGACTATCCTGCTGATGGGATGACACAATTCTGCCGTATCGAGGCACCATCTGATCGCAGCTCAATCCCAAGCCCCGTTCGACCTGCCAGCAGGGAGGATTCGCAAAGCGAATATTCAAACCCTACGTCGTTCTCTAGCATTGAGGCACCAAGTGGTTCCGCTTCCCCTGGTAAGCCAATGGCACAGTCTCCGGTCCGTGAAACTAGCCCGCCTGGGCCTGAAGAGCAATCGTTTGCAAAGAAGAGAGGCTTTTTCAACAGCAGTCCATTCGCGCGGAGAAAGAGTAAACACGAGGTCGAGACTCCGGCAGCTCTTATGCCTGCCAATCGCAATCGCAACACATGGGCACCGTCCCCGCGCAAAAACACGGAGGAGAATACTAGCCCCACCAAGAGCTTTGCCAGTAGAGCACCTGTTACTCGGGCTATTCAAAGTCGTGCGCCCTCGCCCAGTCCAGAACCAGCTGATCCTCGAGCCACCTTCCAGCTCAACGTCGGTAACAACGTTTTCGACGTAGCCACGCCAGACAAGAAGAAGCAACAAGAGCAGGAACCAGAGCCAGGGGAGGAGCTTGACCCGATTGCGCAGGCCCTGGAGGAATTGAGGGGTGTCACTAAACAGACGTCTGTTCGTCAGACAGATGATCGCAAACAGGCTGGTTCCCGCCAGACAGCAGATCGTTACATGGGTCTTGCAACGCCTGCTCCTCCGGGCACACCTGGTATCAGCTCGAGGCTGGCAGGCGGTAAGCCAACTCCCCTTTCTAACATAGCAGACCTGAATGCTGCAAAGCGAGGCACACCTCCTCCACAATACGATCAGCCACCACGAGAGCAACCACGAGAGCAACCACGGGAGCAACCACGAGAGCAACCACGAGAGCAGCCACGGGAGCAACCACGGGAACAGCCACGGGAACAGCCACGGGAGCAGCCACGGGAGCAACCACGGGAGCAACCGCGACAGCAACCGCAGCAACCGCAGCAACCACCAGAGCAGCCAACTATGTCGCGCTTGGGAGCTCCTAAGCCAGCACATACTTCGCGTGCAATGCAAAAGACCACCCAGATGTATGTCAACCAGAAGGTGAACATGTTCAACACTGGTCAGGCGTCTCGATCCTCTAGCCGCAGTCCCACAAAGCAAGAACCACCACGGACTGCCTCTCCCGCACAACCTCCACGTGCTATCAGTCCCCGGCCCACAATCAATACCACACAACAGCCGCCTCAAAACTCATACCGTTCGCAGCCCAATTCGCCTTCTACATACCAGCCTGCGCCACGACAGCAACCACCAGCTGCGCAACCAGCACCAAGGGCGCAACCACAAGCAACACAACCTGCACCACGCCAACAGCCTGCAGCTCAACCAGCACCACGAGTACAACAGCAGCCCCAGCAACCGCCGCAACAACAAGCCCCACGACCAGCATCGAGGCTCCAGCAGCAGCAGCAACAGCAAAGGGCACAACAGCAAGCCTCTCCCGCAACTTCATTCAGCCGCACCGCATCACCCAATCCATATGCCGCATCGAGTGCCGGCAGCAGGCCCAGAGCGCAAACAACTACCGCCGCCGCTCAAGCTTACGGCACACCGGTAGGACGTAACTCGTTCCAACAACCAGCCCGCGGCGCACCGTCCCCAGCACCGCGAACTGCATCACCTCTTCCCCCACAGCAGCCCCCTCAACCAGCCTACGCACAATCACAATCCCGACCCCAGTCTCGCGCGGCACCTGGTCCGGCTTCCAGAGCCGCAAGTCCGAACCCGGCTTTCCGCAACTCCGCTGCTTCAGACCGTCCACCCAGTTCTCACAGTGGCGCTGGCATGGACCTCGCTCTGTCGACTGCGGGTAGCGTGCGCGGCGATGGTAGTGTCTACGGCGGCAGTCAATACGGAGGCAGTGTGCGTGGTCGTCCTGGAACTGCTACCTCGGCGCGCCCTACGACCTCTGGATCTTCAGTGAGGCCCGGTACTGCTAGTACAGCGCGACCGCAATCTTCCTACATGGGCGGTGGAAGTGAGTTTGGATTTGGAGCCAGTGGTGGGAGTGCGGGCAGTGTGATTGGAAGCGTGAGGGCTGAGAGCAGGGCGCGCAGTAAGAGTTTGGCTGAGCCAAAGA